TCCACAGGGGGCACGTGCCTGTCCTGTGGAGGAGCCGATCGTTCCACAGAGAGGGCACGTGCCCTGTCCTGTGGAGGAGCCGGTCGTTCCACAGAGGGAGCACGTGCTCCTGTCCTGCGGAGGAGCCGATCGTTCCACAGAGGGGGCACGTGCTCCTGTCCTGTGGAGGAGCCGATCGTTCCACAGAGAGGGCACGTGCCCTGTCCTGTGGAGGAGCCGATCGTTCCACAGAGAGGGCACGTGCTCCTGTCCTGTGCAGGAGCCGATCGTTCCACAGAGGGGGCACGTGCTCCTGTCCTGTGGAGGAGCCGATCGTTCCACAGAGGGGGCACGTGCTCCTGTCCTGTGGAGGAGCCGATCGTTCCACAGAGGGGGCACGTGCCCTGTCCTGTGGAGGAGCCGATCGTTCCACAGAGGGGGCACGTGCCCTGTCCTGTGGAGGAGCCGGTCGCTTTGGCACGCGCCGTGTCCGTCAGCAGGAGGCTTCGCTGTGACTGCCGCAGCCCATTGTGGCACCCATCACGCCGCATCGGCGCGCCGACAGCAGCGACAAGGCCAGATTCGCCCGTCCATATATCGGCCCAGCAGCACGAGCGGCCTGCAGGTCCGCTTACATACGCGTGTCGTCAGCGGTACGACAGCTGCCGTCCCTGCACCGCGTCATCCATTTACGCAACACGAGCGACCGGCCGTCCAGCCAGGCTGCGCCAGCGCTGTCTCCAGCCGCGCGCATTGGGCGCCGCTCACCATGCATTCCCCCATCTTGCGTCCCAAGCGTTTCTCTCGTCAATCGGCAAGATGTAGCGTGGGAGGTTGCGACATTTAAGACCATAACAGTTGAGTATATACCTGGTTACGTGCGTCAAGATTTCAGTAAGCGGTCATCCGAGCCATATTATCTGATCAGAGCCTCATAAACAGCACTGAATACAGGGGGCCTTTTTTCTAACGCACACGTGTGTGACATAGGGCGAGCAGTAAAACACCTATCAACTTTCAAACACCACGGTGTGGGTCAGCCCGGTCACGTGACTGACTGCCAATGGCGTGTGGTCATGACCCGAAGCTCCTGCCTACGTTTCAACACTGGCTGATCACGAATGCCATGCGATTTGATTGATGACAAATCAACGCAACGCAACAGGCGCCGCCTCACGTTGGCGACAGCTGCGGCGACCCCACAGTCATACCCTCAGCGGAGGTGACGGACGGTGAGATCCTCGGTGCGAGCCTGGAGCCGCCGCCGCGTCCGCTTCACGGCCGGCGTACCCGCGCTCTCGGCTGTGGCCGCTGACTCCAGTAACTCAGCCGCCGAGGTGTGACGGCGCAGTAACCGTTGTCCAGACCCGTGCGCTTGAGCCGTCTGACGTCCTGTCCCAGCCATCAGTTCGGCCAGACGCTAAGCACGGGTGTTATCGCTGGGATTATTGTTTCGGACTGAGGACAGTGTCATGGTTTAAGAACACCCCATTGTTCGGCTAGCAATTTGCCCCAATGTTTGGAGAGACCTTTAAGCCGTTTCATCAAAAATCTTTGGAGCCAGTTATTGACCAAGGCAGAGTGGCGGGCATTTTGTCAGACTCTTCTGGATTTGCAACAGCATTTACGA